CTGGATATTTTTCTATGCAAGGAAAAGAGCACCACAGAGCATACTATTGTTTCGGTAAGCCAGTTCAGGCCAGAGAAGGACCACCCTTTGCAGATCCGAGCCTTTGCTAAGCTGTTGGAGAAGAGTACAGGGCAGCAGCCGCTACCAAAACTCATTCTGATTGGGGGCTGCCGTAACCAAGAAGATGACCGACGTGTAAATGAACTTAAAAAGCTCTGTCAAGAACTGGGCGTTGAGAAACGGGTGGAATTCAAGGTTAACATTCCATTTGAAGAGCTGAAGACCCATCTAGGAAATGCAACCATTGGTCTTCACACCATGTGGAACGAACACTTTGGAATCGGTGAGTAGTTCTGCATACGATCTGGCATGACACGACACAAAAGTTGTTTCTTGTGGCCTGTGCTTGTTCTACAATCCAGGATTCTAAATGGTGAGGATGCTGGCTTGCACGGCAAGCAGAAACCAGTTTCTCAGTTTGGATGGAAAGGTAAACTATGGTTTGGCCTAAAGAAAATTGATCATTGTGGCATTTATACAGGCAGTAGGGCTTGCACAAGAAAGCTTGGCGATCCTTCAGCGCCTGCTCATGGAGCACTAGACCTTGTTTTGTCATTCCATTGGAACCAAGTCCTTTGACTGGAATGTTGTCTGTATGCTTTCACCTTATCCATTTTGTACAGGTGATCTTTTCAGCAGAATGGCACCCATTCCCTATGCCAAGGGAATACAGTAGCATCACATGCTGGAAACACGACATTTAAATGTTAATGATATTTTCTCTAGTGCTTTTAAGCCTAATGTGGGTTTGTAGAATCGTGAAGGACTGAGCAGACTTGCTGTGATTTCTCCTGCCTATGTGGAGGTACAGAGAGCTTCCTTTCTCAGTGAGAATGGCAAATTATAAATGTAAATAAATAAATGCTTCCTCCCACTGGGACAGGATGCAGGATAATCCACAGCTTTCTCTAACCACGGCTGGGCGGCACCCTCCTTCTCTTTTGACAGCATCAGTTGGTAACTAGTCTACAAAACAGAAGAACTTTAGTGGAAAATAACTTTGGAAGGAAAAATTGTAGATTCTGAGGTAAAGGAGGCAGGAAAATCTGTGCCAAGGCAAAAACAGAACTGCCGAAGGAGAAGCCGCCTCTCAGTGGTGATTGCAGAAGGCTGAGTGTTGTCCTAAGGTGTGCAAACGCCCTTCTGTCAGTCAAGGGTGCCCTCCTTTCTCCTCCAGATGAGAAGTGTTAAGTCACGACTGTTTCTTTTGCCTTTTTTTATAGGAATCGTTGAATGCATGGCAGCGGGCACAATTATACTTGCTCACAACTCCGGAGGCCCCAAACTGGACATTGTGGTGCCCTATGAAGGGCATACTACTGGATTTTTGTCAGAAAATGAAGAGGACTATGCAGATACTATGGCTCATATATTTTCATTGTCGCCAGCAAAAAGACTGGAGATCAGGCAAAATGCTCGTCAGTCTGTAAAGAGATTTGCTGAACAAGAATTTGAGGAAACATTCCTATTATCAGTGGAACAATTATTTAAATAAAATGTTGTTTATGTGTTTGGACACATTTGATGGCTTATGGTGCTACATTTATATCTTGTCTTTATTTACTAATTATATTGTGTAACAAAGTATTTCTGTTACATACTGGCTTTAATGTGGGTATAGGGATAGGCCATAAAATTAGCATGGTTCAGGACATTTGTTAAGACTGCAGCTTTGCAAAATAACTAGTTTTGCAGGGGGGTAGCACTCTTATTAGTGTGTATAGCTAAAAACTGATTTGATTTTCAATTAACTTTTATGGTATCAAGAACTGAATCTGCTTCTAACTGGAGATTATTTTTACTCTTAAATTGACACCACCTTCCTGCACTGTATTAATGTGAAACCATTATTGAAATAGGTAATCAATGAAATCCCCCCCCTCCACTTCAGCAGTCATTACCAGAAGATTACATTCTGCTGGAGATAACATGCTTCAGCCCAGCCAAAAGTCCTGTCACTGAAGCTGCAGTACCTGAATTGGTTAAAACAATCAACTTCCAATTTTTTCCAGTTCTAAGCAGTTCTTCAATGGAAAACAATATCAAATACTTGATAAACTAGAGAAATGGGAACCTAAATGCTTCAACATTAAAAACCAGCATGAGTTAATATAAGGAAGTCATAACTGTAGAGACTGGGAGGGCAGTTGTGTGTTTTGTCAAGTTCATTAATGTGAGCTGCAGTGGAACACACTGTTTCCAGTGCTGCGAACCTAATACTTGGTTTGCTACACAGTGGTGGGTGTTGACCCTACAAAGAGGCACTAGTTTTGTAAAGCTAACTCTCGTTGCTATAAGTCTTTAGAAACTACCGTGCAAGATTATGTTAACTGACTGCAGCTTCCTGTTTGTTTCCAGTCAGGTCACCATTTTCTTCCAAAGCTCCATCAGATGTTTTATCAGTTAAACCGTCTTTTCCCTGTTGATTTGGGTCCGCTTTTAAAGCCTCCTCTTCCAGGGACGATATTACTTTCTCCAAGGATTCTATCAGCTCATCCCTCAATTCATCGTCCGATTCTTCAAAGTTACTATATAATTAATAGCAGAAAATGAATATTCAGAGAGAGTTTTTAAACCAAATATTCCATTCTCAAGTTGGCCACTAAATCGACTGAAATTGATCTGAAAGACAAAGGGCTGCTTTGTCTATGGGGTGGTTCCTACATTGTCACCCTGGGAAGGTGAAGTTTTATGACATAAGCAGGATTATCTGAAAGTGCTGTTTGTGTGAACATCCACTTGGGTAGTTAACTGTAGCTGCATTGATTCTTACAACTGATAGCAGTATGCTTTGCTGAGCCACACTATCATGGTAAGAAGACAATGGCTATGATATGTTATCCCTCGGGAGGCATCAGGTCACAAAAACTGTGATTCCAGCAAGACTACAAACCCAGCAAGCAGCCGTGTGGGGTTCCAGAAGAAATCCCATAGGGCCTCTACATCTATGGGGCCTTTAGACAGCCATTTTCTAAGAAGGGAGGCACTAAGCAAACGGATGATGCAATTAAGGCACACATTAGCTTGCCCAGAAGTGGCCTCCCTGTTCAGGTGGTGACTTCAAGTAATAAGGAAGTATAACTTTTGCCTATCTGAATGCCTATTTGAATGCACTGCAGAGGACAGGAAATCAGCCATTTAGCTGCTGAAGTTCAGCAGCCCAGGCTAGTGTGTCTTCATTTGTGTTTTTTAATTTATTTATAACCAACCTTTCTTGCTAATGCTGAGTGACCATACGATATATAACAGTAAGACATGCATTAAACAATGCAATAGTACTAGGAAAGTCAGGAAAACTGCAAAAATTACAAGAGAAGAAGACAATGCAGCAAGAGCAAATATACAACGAGCACTGGAACAGCCCACATTCCTTCCTTTTATAAAGATCGTACTCCCAAACCATTCCATTCCACTACAGCCCTAGTCCCTTTGCAAAAATGTCTTCCTGGACAATTCTCTTTTACACACTCTACAGAATGACAGAAGAGTGGGAGGCTTCCTGACCTCAGGCAGGCCGTTCCAGAAGGTGGGGAGCCACAACAGAGAATGCCGGTGAACAGGCAGTGACCAGTCTTACTCATTTGCCCTCAGAAGCCTTGGCTCAGATTAAGTGACGTTGTTCTGGTGGAGCACAGCAGGAGAGGCAGCCCTGTAGGTATGTGGATCCAGCCATTACGGGCTTTATAGGTGATAACACCCTGAACTGAACCCAGTGACTTCCATCAGGAAGGCCCCCTCCCCCATATCTACATTTTGCAAAATGCAAAACAGAAACATTCAGGGGAGCATTTCTTAAAAGGATCAGAACTAATATAATGAAAAAGCTCAGGAGGACCCTTTCATAAGGGAAGGACTGCAGCCTATTGCAATGTTTACTGTATGTATCACCTTGCTTTTACTACATTATCTCCTTTTGTAATCCACTTTCTGGATTATGGCATGTCATGCTTTAGATGGTTTTTTGTTTGCATTGTTTTCTAACTGCAAACCTGGGACTATTGCATTGTTTACTGGATGCCTTTAGCTACCTGGTTGAATTATCTTTTGTGATCCACCTTGAGTCTCAGCAACAAAGGTAGGTCTATAAACAATGTCAAACAAATAATCTTATAAATCATTAACTCACTATCAACATGTTTATGATAGTAAGTTGCATACGAATTGAGATATAAACTGGGCAGATGGGAAATCCACTGCATGATCTTTTTAGGACATGTGAAGCAAATTGCATCTCAGTTACTAACATCAATCTAGCAAGAAGCGCTATTCCATCGATTCAGTCATTGACTCGTCCGATCCATAAGCACCAACAGTCTCTCCAAAAGTCTTAAGAGCAGGGGTGTTAATATGACAAATCATGATGCTGCCCCGATATTCTCAAGGAAGCAGCTGTATTAACTGCACTGACTTACGTGTCGTCATCATCAGATCTTGGCTCAAGTCTGTCTTCATCCACATCAACAGCAGAACTTGGTTCTGAATCAGCTTCATCAGTTTTGGGAGTCCCTGGGGTAACTGTCTCCTCTGAAAAGGGAAAACAGTTAGTGGGTTTTAATTTGTAATTTTAATTTGTAAGCAACCTTGAACTCACAGGAAGGTGAGAGCAGATTTTTCTAAATGAGCAATTGTATTTGGTTGTGTCCAGCTTTTCCAATCAGCTAACTGCGGAGCCTTCCACCGGCAATAGGAACCTTCTCCACTATTAGCAGAATGGAAACCTTGGATCCAATATGCAGTCATCCCAATGAATGTGAAAAGCTTTTTTGGCATGATGTTAAAATAAAGCAGAAGTCCAGTAGCACTTTAAAGGCTAAGAACATTTATTTCAATATAAGCTCTGAAAGTAAACATTGAAGATTTAAATAAATGTTGTTAGTCTTTAAGTTGCCACTGGACTTTTGTTTTATTTTGCTATGAGAGACTAACATGGATGCCCCATTGCAATCATGATGTTAGACACCCAAACTTTATAGCTGCAGCTAATCTGTTTGTTAAGACATTTAGGCACCAAAGCATACTATTTTTAGGACATAATTAGATCATGTTAATACATTTCTTTGAAACCATAGAGGATTTCCAATATGCTAGCAGCTGTTTCACTGAGACCTTCCATCAGATGTGTATAAGGGATCACTGTCTCTATCTAAACAAAATTTGGCTCAACAGAGGAAGGCAAAGGTCATTGACATTTTAAACATTCATTGATTTGTTTTATTTAAAACATTCATTAGAAGAAGAAGAGGTTGATTTGTTTTATTTAAAACATTCATTAGAAGAAGAAGAGGAGGAGGAGAGATTGGATTTATACCCCGCCCTTCACTACCCAAAGGTGTCTCAGAGCGGCTTACAAGCTCCTTTCCCTTCCCCTCCCCACAACAGACACCCTGCGAGGTAGGTGGGGCTGAGAGAGCTCTGACAGAAACTGCTCTTTTTCAAGAACAGCTCTTATCAGAGCTACGGCTTGCCCAAGGTCATCCAGCCAGGTGCAAGTGGAGGAGTGGGGAATCAAACCCGGTTCTCCCAGATCAGAGTCCGCACACTTAACCACTACCTTACAGAACTCAAGGCAGCTGTAGAGAAATGTATAAAATAGAATACCTAAAATAATCAAATTTATAACCATAATGTAGAACTGCCAGTAAATTAATCAAATGCAGCTGTAAATAAAACCATCTTCAACTGCTTCCGAAAGATCAAATGTGAGGGGACCAGGTGCACCTCTCTGGGGAGGCTGTTCCATAATACTGGGCCTGTGACCGAGAAGTCCCTCTCTCATGTATGCAACAGATGAGCTTTGATTGATGGGACTGTCATGAGAGCCTCTCTTTGTGATCTTAATTCCTGGGCAAGAATATATGGGAGAAGATGGTCCTTCAGATCCCCCAGTCTCAAGCCAGGCAGGGCTTCAAAAGACAAAAACAACACCTTGAATTGGGCTCAAGAGTGGATTGGTGGCCAGTATAACTGCTGTAGTATCAGGATTACATGTTCTTGCTAACTGGCCCTGACCAGCAGTCTAGCTGCAGTGTTTTGCCCTAGCTGCAGCTTTCAAACCCTCTTCCAGGGTAGCCTCACAGAGAGCGCAGTGCAACAGTCCAGTCTAGATGTAACTAAGGCATGGATCACTGTGGCTTTACTTGATTGAATCAGGAACAAACGCAGCTGATGCACTAGCCAAAGCTGAGCAAAAGCCCTTCCACACCGCTGCAGGCACCTGGTTTTCACCTGTGGCAACGGCTGAGAACCTTTGTCTTATCAAGATTAAATTTTAGCTTCTTCACCCTCACCCAGCCCATTACTGATTCCAAGCACCGGTTCAAAACATCAACAGCATCCTTGGGATTAGGTGGGAAAGAAAGGTAGAGACTGGGTATCATCCACATATGGGTGACATCACAGCCCAAACCTCCTGATGACCTCAACCAATGGTTTCACATGGATAATAAATAGAATGGGGTTATAAGACTGAACCGCCATGGGGCAGAGCAGGAATCCTCCAGCATCACCTTCTGACACTGATCTAACAAACAGGACTTGAACCACTGTTAACACAGTGTCCCCCAGTTCCAGTGCCAAAAGGTGGCTCAGTAGGATACTATGGCTGATAATACTGAAGGCTGCTGAGAGATCTCAGCAGAGGTCATTGTCCAAGGCAACCAAAGCAATCTCTGTTCCAAATCCCAGCCTGAAACAAGATAGAAATGGGTCCAGAACATGAAAATAGACACTTTCACTTTCAGTGACTAGCTTTCTGACACATCCTGCTGAGGTGACAGGCTGGTCTAAACACAGCTATAGGATTCAGCACAAGTGTTTCATATGGCTTGTTAGCAAATGTGCTTTTGAATGTATTATTTGTGTTTTGCTGATGCCATGTCTGTAACCGTCTCTGCATTTGTGTATGTGGGGCTTGGGAAATGCTGTGTGTTTGTGCTTGCTTTGCATCTCATGATTGCACCTGGACTAGCAGGGTCTGCTCTGCCTATGCAAATGGACACATGCATACCCACTCCTGCCCCAGCATGCTTTGGGACAGAGAAGACATTCTCCATTAAGCCCAGCCTGGGTAGGCTTGGAAAACAACAAGGAGCCCACCATTACAGATCTCCTGGAATAGCACGTAACCCCACCTATCTGGTTTGGAATCACAAAAGACAACATCCTGTTATTGCCTTCTTGGATCAAGCCAACATCTACAAGTCAAAGGTTGCTATGGGAATGCAACTTTGACATCTTGCCACATGGCTCCCATTGAAGTTAGGGTTAGAATTTGAATATCGCCCCACTCCCCTTTAGGTGGAGCGTCACGACCCTTCAACCTATAGGTATAGAGAAGGGGACGGATTGTAGGTGTAGATTGGCCTTATGCCAACCCCCAAAACTAGGTTTTAAAAGAAGAAACACAGCCTTTGTTTCTTGTTAGCTAACCATTCCCCTTACTACTTTCACCTTTGCAACTTAAGTCTACTGTAGGTGATTCTTAAGTGTTCTCTGGAATCGCGACCAGAGAACCCACACGTGTTTGGCTGGACCATTCAGTGTGTTTTAGAATCCGTAAAGATAGTACTTTTGTTCCTGTTCCTTCTACTGAGAAGAATTACTTCTCGCCTGGAAGTCAGATGAGTATCAACGCTACCCTTCTGTGTCTTACCTCATTGTTTGTCTGAAGTTATTATTTTTATTACTGATTGTTTCTGTATCTACTGTGAACTAAAGGATCTGAATGTATGTGTGAACGCATCTGTTTTGTGTGCATGAAATCAACTATTCTTAGTAAAGACAACATTTATTCATTAAACATCAGTGTGTTGTCTCGCTTCCTGGGAAATAGGAGAGTCCATTCTGAATCCGCCCTCTGGATACACGGGTAAAACAAACTCAACCGCCCAATGCCATACATAAGATAGAGTTGGGCCACCGAACAATCTTCATTAGGAGGAGTTCCAGTATCAGGCTATAGGAAATTTACATGACTCTTTGGCATCTAGCCTTTAGTAAGATTATCAACTGGTCATAAAAAAAAAAGAATTAGCAGTTTTATGTGCAAAAGTTAGCAGGTGAACATTTTTACTGCATGGAAATAAAGTCACCATGGCCAAGCAATGTCTGCATATCAAGCTGCTGATAAAGCCGTTATTGGCTGATTAGAAGGTTGGTTCCCTACTTTTTTACCCTGCCCAAGACCTTAGTAATTAGGATTTAGGGTACTTATAAGGTTTAATAGAAAATGTTTTCCTCTCTTACAATGTAGTATCACAAGTAATATTTTGAGAAGTTGTTTTTATGCCCCGTTTTTTTCCCCCCCCCCCCCCCCCGCTGCAACCTGCCCTAAAACTGGGGTGAGGTCTAAATAAGCAAAAATGGATGCCTGGGCACTAGTGGTACACATGGTAGTAGGCATGAAACTACTCTAAGAACAGAATCTCCTACTGCGTAGATAGTTTCATAGGGTAGCCACGCTGTCTGCAGTAGAACAGCTACATTCAAGTCCAGAAGCACCTCAGAGACCAACAAGATTTTGGGGGCATAAGCTTTGCAAGAGTCAAAGCTGCATTTATCAGATATGATGAAGGGATCTTTGACTCTCAAAAGCCTATACCCTGAACATCTTGTTGGTCTCTAAGCTGCTACTGGACCTGAATACAGCTGTCCTACTAATGAACTACCTCTTAAGAAGCTGGATCGTTTCAGCTTGGCTGTGAACTGCTTTGCTGCTTGGGATGTGAGAAAGAACTTACTGGGTTCTCCATCTTGGTTCAGAGTGTCACTGGAGCACTCGGCTTCTGCTAACATGTTCAGTAGTGTCCCAGGGGATTCTTGGCTCCATTTTTTCCTTTTTTCACGGAATTCCGAAGGCACAATGGTCACTGGGTCTGCTGAGAAACAGGATATGTTAGCTCAGTGAATGTTAATACGACATTCAGTTAAAACTGAATTATAGTACATTACGGGGAGTGGCCATGACTCAATGGTAGAGCATCTGCTCGGCATGCAGAAGGTTTCAGGTTTAATCCCCAGCATCTCTAGTTAGAAGGACCAGGCAGAAGGTGACATGGAACACTTCTGCTGAGACCCTGGAGAGCCACTGCCAGTCTCAGGGACTTAAGTAGATGATACTGTGACTGACCCAAGGGCACCCGGGTGGCTGCATGTGGAGGAGTGGGGAATCCAACCCGGTTCTCCAGATTACAGTCCACCACTCTTAACCACTACACCAAACTGGGCACTTCCCTGTGTGAGGGCACTTCCATCTCAGAAATACATACATGGGGGAAAAAATACATAAATGAACACACATGGAACTGCCTTATACTGATTGGACCCTTGGCCCATCAAGGTCATTTCTGTCTACTCAGTCAGCAGCTGTCAGAGGTCTCAGGCAGGGGTCTTTCACAGCTCCTGCTACCTGATTGGTCTGACTGGGGAGGCTGAGGACTGAACCTGAGATCTTCTGCAGGCCAAGCAGATGCTCTGCCTAATGAGCCACGGTGCCCTTTTGAATCAATCCAGGTTTTTTAAAAATGCATTTCCCCCCCAGTACATTCCCTAACCTAGAATTTGCCCTGATCTGTTTAGGGATGCCTCTCTCCAGTCTGAGAACCACAGAAATATTGTTTCTCTGCAGTGACAGATTATTTCTGTCGCTGCACAGGACCCTTTTGAAAGGCCCACTGTATTTCACACTCCAGTGCAAAGACAGACCTGTAGCAGATGCAGCAAATCACTCACTCTGTGCTCAATATAAGAACAGAAAATATGCTACAAAAATCACCTTCATCTGTGGCTGGGGACACAGACGTCACCTCTGAATTCCCTAAGAGATTCAGGAGAGTTTGTGGGGCTGCAGCCTGCCAGTGCTTCCTGTCTGCTGTGGAATCATCTTCATTCTCAGAATCTAAGGGGAAAGAGGAGGTGACTGTTAATTGCTTTTAACTCTGTGTGGATGGAATACTGACGTATTTATTTATTTATTTCTATTTGTATCCCGTCCTCGTTCTCTAATGTGTTGACCGTGATTCATTCCCCCCACCCCCTGTCAACAGTTGATCAAGGAGACTTATACAATCTGTGACACACAAGAGTTCAGAGAGTTTTCTTTTTTTGTCCATTGCATGACCTTTTGGAAGAGACTTTGTGATAAAGTCCTGCAGTCCGTTCTTGTGTCACATGCCTAACAACTGGGAGTCATATTATGGTGAGAAAACAGCTGTGTGAAGCAGCTCACAAAGTGTACATGCAACACTAATCTGAATGCGTACGAATGCAAGGCTAACTAAAGAGGGGACACCATCCCAATAAGTCCAGCAATTTCAAGATAAATACCTGTTTCCAAACAGCATAATTCTGCCAAAGCTCTGTCAGTATAATCATTACAGACATTTGTCAGCTTTTCCTTAAGATCTTTTCCATCCTCAAAAGTCAAGGTTTCATTAAGCTCATTCTGTTCCTGAAAGCAGACAAAAGAATCAAACCTGAAACTTATTTAGCTCACTCACATTGTTTAGCTTTTGTATGAAAACTTCTTCAGGAAGAACAAGCGAAAGTAAAGAACTGCAATAACTTGACAGATTTAGACAAGTGCAATCTACTAATCCCTTATCTTGGACTGAAGACATGCATTTCAGCAAGAGCTCTCTTTATGGAATGTCAACACTTTCTCCAAATTTTCTTCTGAAAAAAAAAAGCTAATTTGACACCAAGGAGTGTCGGACATTATGGCAACAAATCACAGACTTCCAGGAATCCATGTATGTTAATAATTAATTTATTATTATTGTTATTGTATGGCATTGTCTGTAGAATAGCCAGGGAATCCTAGGATTGTCTGACAACCACAAGTTCTAGCTCTTAGCATTGTGCTAGTGGCAAGCGAGACTTATTTTTAGGGGTTGAGAGAGCTCTGAAAGAACTGCGACTGGCCCAAGGTCACCCAGCTGGCTTCATGTAGAGGAGTAGGGAACTGAACCCAGTTCTCCAGATTAGTGTCCGCTGCTCTTTACCACGACACCAAACTGGCTCCCACCTGCATGTATGAAGATTTGTTTGCATACATAATTCTTCCATGTGTGGCTGCTTCATCTACTCCAGTGGAAGAACCAGCATGCAAACACAGATGTTCACCCACCTGAGATGCCTGGAGAAGACTTTGCAGATTGGTCTGCCTGTGATCCAAACACATCACCAGAATGGAGTATTGGTATATTGCGTTTCACAAAGCTATTTACCTCTTTCTGGCCTTGGGAATTATTCACATCTGGAACTCCATCCTCTAAATCAATCTGAAACTTTATACCACCCTGAAAAATAGTTTCAAGTATTTAAATAGCATGCAAAAATAAAGAGCTGATAAAAGATGCTAATTCTGTAGTTTGCAAATATGCAATTTAAAAGACCTTCTAACACCTGCCTACTTGAAAGGCAGGCAGACATCTATGCAGTGCTGGGTATGGGGAGGTAATTCTTCTTGCCAAACGGAAACAAGCAACATCAGTCCACACCTATGGTCTGTATTTCCCTTCCCTTCCTGCACTATTTGGGCATGTGCAAGAGACTAGCAGAAAGTTAAAGAAGATAAAGCTAAGGACGTGGGGGCCCCCTCACTTGAATAGGGTGTTCATTATAGCACTGATCAATACTGATTGCCAGAAACAGCACATATTTATATGTACATTAGTGCTGTCAAGTTGCAACCAACTTGCAGCAACCCCAGCAAGGTACTGGCAAAGGCAAGAGACTTTCAGGGGTGGTTTGTTGTTGCCTTCCTCTGCAGGGCATTCCTTGCTCATCTCCCATCCAAGTACTGACTCTGCTTAGCTTCCAAGATCTGACAAGAGCAGGCTACACCATGCTGCCTTCCCTCATCACACATTTATAATAAGGATAAAATTCCGCTTTCCACCAAGAGAGATACTAAGGCAGCTTAGAAGAAAACTATTTCAGATGATAATAAGTCAGTCAATTCGACAAAACAATAAAATACTTATCTTCTCATCTACTGGCTGATATTTGTTATTTGTGTTAATATTTTTGTATTTTTATGTATCTTGTACATTTTTAATTACTGTTGTATATTGTTTCGAGGGGTTCCTCCTCCCACCCGACAAACGAGAAAAAATTAGGCTTTAGCGACATAAATTGCCATGTGAAACCAATTTCTAGAGTTACCAATATAAGAAGACCAGCCAAAACAATGAGAACAGGGAAAAAAGAAAATCTGTTACTCTTTAACCTTTGCTTTGTGTTTTACTTCCATGACATTTCTGTCTTTCCAGTTACGCAGTCCCAGTTTTTTCAAGTTTTGTTCAATAACCTTAAAGGGAGAAAAAAAACATTGTTTTAAACATGCACAGATATTTCCAGTCAAAATAGAGTATTTTTACAGTGCAATCCTATGCAGAGTTGCTCCACTCTAAGCATCCTGATGGTACTTTTAAAGGGATATGTAACGAAGCCAACAATATATGTGGTATAAGGATGGTTCAATGACCAATTGTATCACTGATTAGAGGAGGCTGGGGAGAAAAATGTAAAGGATTCTTATTAAAACAGCAGATAAAGATTATAGTGACTGCTGTGCTTTAACTGGCCTAACAGCAGATTCCAAAGCACTGCAGGAGACTGACAGTGGTGTTCTAAACAGAGTTACACCATTGGACCTATAAGGGTATAACTCTTCTTTGGGAATGCACTGGAAGATAACAAAGTACACTGAACCATTGCTTTAGCCTTTCTGTACCATGTTATAATTATAAGCATGCACCTTTTCAGATTAATATGACTAACTATAGTTGTGTATAGAAGTGTCAATACCTGGACTGGATCATCTTTTCTTCCAGGGATGTCACTGTTGTGAGAAGGCTGGTCCTCAGTCTTCTTTTGTTTCACAAGATAGGTTTTGCCATTTACATTTGTGTTCTCCTTTAGGACAAACCATACTCAGTTATACTTTTTTTACTGAAAAGTATGCTAGATATCACAAAGGGTAATTTAACAACTAAAAGATTATTAAAATAATGAAAATGAAATCAGGCAAACTCACAAAAAATGTATAATAGAATAAAAGGACATTTTTATAAAGGCACTCAATCCAAATATAATTTTTGAAACCCAGAATGCAAACTGAAAAATAAAATCTACATTCAGGGATATGTAAAATTACCCCCCTAAGAATTTATCTACCAAACGAAGCTGAATATAGTATGGTAGGTAGTTGAAATTTGGCAGGAGGTAGTGTTTTACAACACTTGTATGACGTGTACAGCATTTATCATTGATGAAAACATTCACAGTATTTCCTCTCTCACAAAAGGGGTGTGTGTGTTGAGATTTCCCCTTTGAGATGTATCCTTCTGCAGAGCTTATCACGCCATTCTGAAAAGTCCATGAATCCTCAGGATCTGCTTTTCAGTGGGCACAGGAGGATGGTCGTAAAGGAAGGGGGGGAACAACAGGAAAGATCCATTTCATATATAGATCCACTCCCACTTCTTAGGAGACAGCCCCTGGTGTTCTGTTCAGTGGTGAACATCCTAAGATGACAGGGGTCTTGCGGCAAGAATCTCATATTCTCTCCCTGAATGCTTAAAGTGTTGCTACAACAGATACTTACAATATTTTTATTTCAAGAACTAGAAGCCACTTTAATTGATCACATTATCAGTTTTTTACATTGTGCAAACAGAGATGTGGGAAAGACAGGGTAAATAGTTGGAATGGGGAAATTTACCTCTAATGCTTCTGCTCTAAGCTTAATTTCATTGACTTCACTTTGGTACTGTCGACGAATATTCTGCAGCTCTTCTAGGTATTCCTGTTTAAGATCATCAGAGTTAAAAATAACTGAGCATGCATGCACCCTTAAAAATCACATTAGTAATGCATGTAACAGCCACATCTATGTAATATTAGATGCAAACACAAAGAACAAGAAGGTCTCTTCTGAACTATATGCTCAGTTGGAGTAGTAAAAATTTTAAAAGCCAGTTTTTGTCACCAATGATATATCAGGCAATCATGAGGCTGCCATCACATCCATCAAGATGGATCGTGTGATTATTGACAACTGGCTAAACTCAAAACCACATCCCCATAAGGAATGAGCCTTACAGTACACTTCCACAAGCATCATAAATGTCTGAACTGGGCAACGTACTTTATAACTACCTGGACTAGAACAGAACGTATCAGATGAAGGTAGCTTTGACTCTCAAGCTTTGACCCTCCCTGGAAATCACATTGGTCTTTAAGGTGCTAGTAGGCTTGAGCCTTGCTCTGCAAAGAAATGTATCTCATGGACTTCTTTAAAGCAGCTTTACACATATCAATCCTTATACATATTTGCAATTTAGTCTGGCAAGATTCTACGTGGCGCCAAAATGAGTTGGCTGAATGATCTGTCACTCAGAACGTGTCCCTAGCCACTGGCTGCGTTGCCTGAGTCCTACCCAGCCACCACTCAAGAGTACTCGTGTGCCATTGGCTGGGTGCTGGGTTTGCTTCTCTTCCCCGCCCACTCCTTCAGCCACTGTGCCCTCTCAGAATTTCTTGGCAGACGGCTTTCTCTCTTGATGAAGACAGTTGCCTCCTGTCTAACTTTTCCCCTCAGTAGCTGTTGGTAGGTGTAACGAAATGGCAGTTATCTGTATCTGTGAGATGGCTGCTGTCTGTGTGTTTAAAATGTCCCCCCAGTAGGGATGCCAAGTCTACTTACCTTGGCGGCGGGGGAGCCTCGCCGGGCTCCGGGAGCTCTCCGGCGATGCGCGCACGCCGCTAGCACATCACTGGAAGTGACGCGCTATGTCGCTCACATTGAGGCCGTGGCCACAATCATCGGAGGGAAAACCGTAAAGTTTTCCCTCTGACGATCGTGGCCACGCCCCCAACGTGAGTGACCAGAGGTGACGCAGCCACACTGCGCTTCGGGGCGTGGAGTTCCCCCCAGGACCCGATTCCGCGGCGGCGGAAATCGGGCCTCCAAAGCGGGGGTTTACCCATCACCCGCCCCCACTTGGCAGCCCTACCCCCCAGAAGGCTTAATTGAGCTGTAGTTCCAGAGAGGGGCCTTCCTCATCTGCTGGCCTACACTTCCGAGCTGCACCAAAAAGTGCGGGAAAAGAGGGACCTTGGGGCGGGGCAGCATCAATATAGACTCCAGCTAGGCCACAAGCCAGAGATG